CTCCTGTGCGTGCTGTGTGTGGCTGTGCCCCCGCAGGGTCTGTCGGGATGTCCGGGCAAGGCAGGGCGAAGCTTCTGAGCGGTCCCACGCTTGGGTGACGCCGTCGGACTCGGAGCGCGACATCATCCCCCATCACGCGGACTGGAGGTGGCACTCTACGGACTTAGGTTGTTGCAAATCTCTCTCATCATCTCATGAATCTGCTGTACTATAAAAACAACAGCTTTTAAAGTATGTACATAGAATCCATTTCTTGTTCGTTTTATTTTCTTGATGGGTTCCCCCCCCCTCCCCTTTTTAAACCTATTCAAATCACGTTTTTTCGTAGCGTTTTGACATAGTCTCGTAGTCATGTAGTTCTGATTCTTTGTGTATCTAGGAAGAGCCTAACCATAGTATAACTGTTTATATTAAGAGTTTTCTTTCTTTTTCTCCCCCCACCCCCACCCCCCTTTTTCCTTTTGTTTTATGTAGTTGTTGTTGCTTAAAGGATGCTGAGATGGTAACGCGATTCTCAGCCTTTTGGTACCAATTCTGCAGCGGTAAACCTGGCGGGTGGAGGCACACACTGAATTGGCGGTGGCGCGGTGCAGCGGGCGGGCTGACGGGAAGGCTCTAGTTTGCGTGTCTGGGAGCCGAGCGCGTACTTGAGTAGCAGGTTCTCTAGCCGGTCTTTTCGTTTGTGATGTCTTTGTTAACCTGATTATATCTATTTTCGGCAATAAGGTAAGGACTGCAAAATTTTGTGGGTCCTTTTTCTATAAGTGCTTTTTTTTGTTGAAAGAGGTGATATAAGGTTTTTTGAAATTGTGAATTCTGAAAAAAATACTGTAAATACAATTCCATTAACTACATATAAACTATTAAGAAAGAGAAATACAAACTATTTTTGTGATGGAGTCAGTCTAAGGCAGTTTCGCTATTAAAATGGAAGAAAAAAATTAAAGTTTTAAACTTTTAGATCAACTGCCAGAGCTGGCCCATAGGAGTTAGATTAACACTGTTTAGCTTGCTCTGTAGGTGTGTTAGACCTTCGAACTGTCCTAGCGTCATACCAGCATATTATCTAGTCATATGTGCACAGCTTAAAAAGTAACAGTCTAGTTATATTTTTAATTTAAGAACTGCTTTTCCCAAGACTGAAAAAGAAGCTACGGTTTTAATATTTAACGCATTTAAAGTTCAAAGCACACTTTTTTTTTTTTTAGTTGTTATTTTAAATTAGATCAACTTGCTGTCCAGTCATTTCAGCTGCTCTGTGCATCCTACAAAGCTCTGGCAGGAAGAGGTCCCTCTTCGGTGTTTAACGTGCTGTAG